GACTTTTTTAACAAGATATTGGTATGTTCGATGTGATACTGCTCCTTTGAACACATATAAACCAAAAATTGAGCGCCGAAATTTCGTTGTAGTATCCCTTTAAGAACATTTTCCGCTCTTTCCCTGCCAAAGAAGAACACGCCTCCCGGGACGATTGACGCTCCTGCGTTCTTTACTTTTTCTAGGGACAGTATTTTTGGCGAGATAGAATGTTCTAAAGCAACCTTTAGTGACAAACAAATCTTTATTAATGTAAAGAAGAATTTTCTCTCCGATTGGCACCTTTAATCTAATAAAGTAGTTTGCCCCCACAATACATTGGATGATGCACATCATAGTATCACTCATACATTCTACACTCTACGGTCGCACACGTTTATGGGCCGCCTCAGCAAAAACGGTTTTGGACCCGCGGATATTCACATCCGATCCGCATCCGCAGCCCCTGGCATCCGCATCCGATCCGCCAAATCTGATTAATTTTTATCCGAATCCGCCAGTTTACTGCAAATATCCGCGGATGCAGGCCTCTACCGATGACCTTCACTCCGGTGCGACTGTGAAAATGTTTGCTAATGACTGTCATATTGAGGTATTTAGCGCACAAAGTGGAGAGAAGAACAGGACAGAAAAGAGTGCCACTGACAACTACCGTAATATCCCGAGTCATCGCCCATCCCCGAGCCATCGCCCACCCCATTTTTCGGACCAATATCGATTTCCGAAAAAACACCGAGTCATCGCCCACCCCTTCGAATACCCCAGCGCGGACTCTGCGATCCGCGAACACTCATCCTACCCGAATGACGCGGCCGCAGACCTTGCAGTTGGAGGACGTCCGTGACAAAGTAAAACGAAGAAGGGAAAGACACTTCTTTTTGTTTACGCATTTCCTCCGTGAGCGACCCCAAAGTGGTCGTGTATCCGTGCGAAAAGAAAACGATGGTGATAACAAAATAAGAGTTTGTTAACGTATCCGCGGAGTGTTAGGTCAAAGTCTGTCTCCGCCGAAGTAAGGTCCCCACGAACCCGCTCCTTCTTCCCGCCCGTCGCGACCGCGGTTGTGTAATATTTTAGGCAAAGCCAACGCGTAAATAAAGCTTTGCTGGAACGCCCTACACAGACGTTCGCAGAGCGTCCCAACCGTGCATTGATAGCCTGCCGTCCACGGACGCACGTATGTACGCACCAAACAAGAAAGTTGCGCAAGAGCTTGCAATTGACAAGGCGCCCGACTTGGCCCGACGCCAAAGTATTTGCCAACGCGACCGCCGGCTTTCCTGCTTTCCCAGCATTGCTCTTGGTCGCTTCTTTGGTCCGCTCGCTCGCTCGTTGCGCCTGGTCGGTTTTTCTATTTTCTTGTAGACTTTTTTTTTTTTTTTTTACTAACTAGGAGAACATAGTGGTGACATTCTTTCACGGAACAAACAATCGCGCTATATGCAGATCGGCGGTGTTTCTAGCGCGTATGCAAGCAACGGACTTCGCTATAGTAAAATATTCTTTCGTGAGCATTTTTTTCTATAAAACAATGAAACTAAATCGAGTTTTGAGTTTGATGTATCTCTTGTGCATCAGCGCTAGATACGCAAAAAAAATTAGGCGGTTTTTTCCGCTTTTTTTTAAGTGTTTGTGCTCACCCACCGAGACATGGCCCACCCCACTTTTTTAATGAATTTCAGGCGGTAGGGGGGTGGGCGATGACTTGGGATATTACGGTATGTCTACTGACAAAAAAGAAAGAGAAAATAAAAAGCCCAAAATGATCCGCCACGGAATGACTGTGTTATTTATAAAACTGTTTGCAACTCTTCAAATCAACTATTGCTAAATGAAAACTTGCGTAAAATTGCTGAATTGGTGTGAGAGGAGGCAAATGGTTTTTAATTACTCAAAAAATTGCACTCTTACAATAACCCATAAGAAATCTCCTGTTGAATTCATGTGCCACGTCGAAAATAAATGCATTGAATCTGTGAAAAGTATGGTTGCTACCTGCCCAGTTTGTAATCAGCCCGGCCGTTTTTTTTTTTTTTATTATTGAACGGTTGGTTTTTGGTTTGTATGTAAAACCAGCTGTCATTTGCCAATTTTCTTCAACTATCCAAAAGCATTTGTTTTGTTTTGTTTTTTGGGGGGGAAGAGTTTGCTCTTGCATTGGCACGGTAGCACGAAACAAACGCTCGGTATAGTCCATTTTCTGGACTGCCCGCTTGACTGGCGAGCCTGCATTCCACCGACGTCGCAGCAGCAATGGGCCTGGGTACATTTGAATGTTGGTTTTGGCATGATTTTCATTTGCCAATGTCACAATAACTATATTTAATTTTGCGTAATAAATAGCCATTTGCAAAGGGTAAAGGCCGGGGATTCCTACTTTATTGGGGTAGCTAAAAAAATCGCCAGAGTACACCTTTAAAAAAATGCGAGAGAAGCTCCTCCCGCAAAACAGACCACCCTTCCCCCTTAGCCGAGAGAACGCCTAACGAGAGGGGGCTCCTCTTCGGTATTTGCTCTGCTAAGTGGAAGGGGGTGGAGGGCTTCGAGGGGGAGCTTTTACCATTCTTCTTAACCTCTAACAGGGAATAGATCAAAGTCAGTCGACAAGCATCTTAGAACGCCTGGCACCTTTTCGTGGCACGTTTGCTCGGTGGCGGTCACTACGCTATCAGCCCACCCCATATACAGAAGCGGCGGAGCCGGTGGAACATTCGATGCACATTGCCTGCAGTGGAAAGTTATTAAGGAGAAAGCCTCGTTCGTCTCATCCTTCAGTCGACCTTCAAAATCCTTCAGCGAAAACACGTCGGCGACACGAAAAGTATGAAAACCTGTTGGCAACAGAAAAGGTACCAGTGAAACGGCGCCAAAAGTGTGTCGTCAGAGAGCACGGCGTCTTCGGAGGCTCGCTTTCATGTTTACATCAGTGCTTGGGCTTTCGACGTCAAGTCGTCTTAGGGATAACGTAAGAGACCCTGTAAATTTTTTATAATGTGGATTTTATGGTAAACAAGCTTTACGCATACATTTGCGCAAAAAGAGCATCTTTTGAAAACGATTGTTGCCCGTGGACGCGTTGCCGCCAGTGGTGCTAGGAACGCTATCCGCCCGTACCTGTTCACATCCAGACAACGGAGAAGAAGCGTTTTCGAACGACTCTCTTCCATGGAGCTTGTCAACCGTTAGATCGAAGGCACGCTTCGGATGGGGCAATTTTCCCATCAATTTCGGCGTTGCTGGCGAGTTGTCCCCTAGCTTTCACTGGAGCTTTGTACTGCAACATGAATGGCTGGGATCGAGTCCGGTTTGGCACGGGGGAGCAACTCGGATAACTCGGGGACATTGTCATGTGACTCCCCCGTGGTGCCAATGACGACAACTAAAGACTGGGTTTAATATGGTTCTGGTTTGAAATGGGGGTTGTTCGTGGGAATAAATTGTTTCAAAAAGATGAATTAGTATTCGCAAAGACATTCAGAAATAAAAACATGCCTATATTGCGTAACTGCATGCCTAAATAGTGTAAAAATGGTTAAAAAATAAAACAATGATGATGGCAAACAGCAAGGACCATGCCATGCAAACAGCATGGCATGGTCCTTGCTGAAATTGTACGCAAGGGCCAAATCAGATATGATTTTCACAAATCAGACACATTATTTTTTTGCCATGTGCGACACAAATTGTTTTGTGTGGACACCCCTTGAGCATCGTACCAGCGTGCGGTTGCATATCCCTACCGATTTGTCACTACTGTGCACTGGCTAAATTTCTCATCTCCTGCGTGAAATGATGTTGCCATACCCCAAAGGAGAACACCTAAGGTATTCTCTTTGAACTTGCCATTTCTTTATGACGATGATGTCTCACTATTACACCCTGCGTTAAGTCCCGGGCACTGTCAAGACTTGCAGAAGGATATGGACCATATCCACCAGTACTCGCTGGCAAACACCTGCCTCACGATTCATCAAAATTGCTGGCGACACGCAGAAAGACCACCGACAGCCCACCGATGCTGACATTGGCTGGCGACACCGTTCACCGCTGTCAGCAGACCAAACTTCTTAGTGTTGCACTGGACCAACGACTTTAGTTCACTGAACACATTCATGAAGTGACATCGAAGGCCAGACGACTGCTTGGCTTGATCATTTAAATCTTCAAGGGTGTTGGAAGCTGACACTCTCAGGAGCCTTTTCACTGCTCGTTTTACCATGGCTGGAGTACTGTTGCTCAGTGTGGGACCCACTGCAAGCACGCACCAGTGCCTCGCCGGAGTTTATACGTCACGCCGCATACACAGTCCTGTGCGGACGTCCCCCACCACGCCCTCCTCGACACGACCTTTGGACGGTCCAGCCTTTAAAGGCTGTAGGTTGGGATACTCTACAACGGACAGTGGCGTCTATTCAGCAACCTGCCTCCATATCCCGCCCAAATCACTCTCCCCCTTCACTTTCTTACGACCTAAAACATACCCGGCTCCAGCCCTTACTTGCAAGAACGGAATGCCATAAGCAGTCTTTTCAGATTAGAGCTGTTAAGCTGTAGCGCTGGCTGCCGAACGAGATGACAGCTAGTGCCTAGGTGGTGACATGAGCCCCAAGGAGCTTTGCAGGGATGTTGTCTGCACTCTCCAGTACCTAACCCCCCCCCCCCCCCTTTTTTTCTTCATTAATCTTCTTTCGTTTCCACTCATTATGTTTCATATGTGTTGTGCTTTGAACTCTTGCAGCTTACCTTTAGAACAAGGTGTCACAAACCTGGGCCACTGGCCCTCCGCGACTGCCTGGCTAAAGCCGCCTGTACAGGCGGCTTTGGCCTGGCTCTCATAAAGAGCTAAAATAAACAATATGAATGGCAGCCTAAGCTCATGCTGTCTAAGCATCTATATGTACTACAGCTTGGATTCGCAGAGAAATGAACGACGGAGGCACCGAAATTATACCTTTCGAGATACGTTTCGCTCAGCACCCGAAGGCCAAAGCGTGGCTCACCATGATTGAATTGCAGCGTGAGCTTCTCAGTTACGTCGGCCAAAGGCTGCCCCTTCTCTTTAAACACTGGAAACAGCGCCCGCGCAGTCTTTCGAAGGTATTTTATATAAGCGTTACGGCTGCTAACGGCTGCAGATGTCATACTGGTCATATCACACCATCAACGGTGGCTAATACACCAGCTAATACGCTAATACCATGTAAGCCGCCATCTTGAGAATCAAAGCAATAAAACAGAAAGAAACATAAAAAGTGGTTAGTTACCCCATCGGTGGTCAGAGGGCGTTCTTACGAGTTTAATTAATTATTTGAGGAACTTTCGCTCTTTTTAAATTGTTTAATTATCAATATAATTTAGCTTGCGCGGAAAATATTTTATGAGTACATCTAGAATGTACTTTTATTCACACAAAGCCGCCGATGACGTGGTGGGCAAACTGCGCGAGTGTGCGCAGTGTGCGCGACCATCTCTGTCGTTGGACGACCGTGCGACTCGTAGTCGTGGACCCGGACCCCCCGGACCCGACCCAGCGTTGCCAGGTGGTGAAATTCGGCACCAGATTTGGAAAATCTGGTGAAATTGAAAGGGTACTGGTGTTGATGTACCGGAACGGCTACACCAGACCATATCTGGTGAAAACTGGTGAAAAATCTTGAGAAACGGTTTGCCACTTGCATTAATTATATTCCTTCCCTTCACCCGTCAAAAGTGCTGTCACAAGCGGCACGCTACCCTTTTGAGAAGCTTCCCTTCCACCGCCTCTTGGAGGAAGAGCAACACATTTTGGAACAACAGTACAGAAAAATCGTGATGCACACCTGGGCTAGAGGGTGCGTGTTTGATGGCAAAGTGCCGGATGACTGCACGTTATTCTGGAGTGGAATATTCAAGTACGAAAACGGAGCTAGGAGAGAGATCATACAAAGAAAAGACTCTATGCCTTTTCTTGCCTGTCCGGCCCAGTGTCGAATGCTGTAGTGGAAATGGGTTTTAGCCAAGTCACCTGCATCAAGACCGAGTACAGAAATAAGATGTCTGTTGCAACGCTGGATGCTATTGTGTGCATTCGCACAACATTGTCATTGAAGTCTGACTGCTGTGTGCAGTTTTTTTTTTTTGCAACAGATGATATGCTTCGAAGGTTTACGTCAAAAGTCTACGAAGCAGTGTAGTAAGCTCTGGCACTTGTTAGTGTATTTATGTACCCTAATTGTTTATGTTCCATATTCTTATGGATATGAGCGATAGATGTGCTTCATGTGTCAAGAGATATTCCGTGTCAGTGTGTCTGGACTGTGTGAAGTTAACTGTTATGTGACTGGATGTCATGCATATCAGTTTTCTTTCTTGACGCTTGACTTCAAAACCTGTTATGAACTAAACTTTATCATGGTGTTGTACGTGGACTTCGTTCTTTGCGTTTCTTTTTCTTACTGCTGAGCAGAGAATGTACGCTTAATTTAGACTGCCAGTGCCTTTAAGCGCAATATTATGTGGCCTTTCTTACGTGTCGGTGGCCTTCATTAATTTGAATTTCCGTCTAAGGACTACTCAGTACCAACATCTCATAAACATGGTATATTAAAAAGTAACAATGCTGATGCGCCACATGTCTGCTTTCTTACTTTTTTATTGTGCTGTGATGAGCCTTATATTAGTAAACCTCCGAAAGCCATCCTTTTGCGAGTTCATGCGTAAAAAAGCTGAAGGAATTGGAGATAATAGACGCGATATTTTATTCCTGGTGAAATCTGGTGAAATTTCTGCCAGGATTTGGTGCCGAAGCATATTTCCAATCTGGCAACGCTGACCCGACCAACGACCTTGAGATCAGTGGACCCGACGGATAGACGACGGACCGACGGACCAACCCCCCGAACCCGCCCAACCCGTCCCATCCGAACCTAGCGAATTTCGAAACACACACCGAGGTTCGGCGGCCAGTTCGGCCGTTCTTCCGAAACTTTCCGATTCGGAAAAAGATTTATCACTGAAAGACTGAAATACCAACCGGGCCGGCGGCGGGTACGGGGTAGAGGTAGAGAGAGCGGTAGAACTACGGTAGAGCTGTTATTTTGTCCGAGTTAATTGTTAAATCAAGATTTCGTCCACTTGTTGCATTGATTTGCAAGATGGCGAAGCTGGGCAAAATTTCAGCAGACACGACAGCTTTCTTCTTGTGCGACATGCAGGAAAAGTTCCGACCGGTCACACGTTATTTTCCCGAAGTTTTGGCAGCCGCTTCTCAGTTGGTACGGGACACTTTTTGAGCTGAATTGAATTCGTTCTTTTAGTGGCATCTAAAACAAAATAATAAAATTTCAACTTGTCCAAAGGTCTCTGTCATTTTTTGTTTCTTTTTTTTTTTTTTAGGTTCAGACGTCGAAGTTGCTGAACGTGCCTCTAATTGTCACCGAACAGGTGAGTGAGCGGTGCCGTGGAACGACCTTGGAAGCGACGAGACTGGTGCTACTCACGTGAGCGCAGGTGGCTACGCAGGTGTTTGCGCTCGGTCTCGATGTTCCGCAGCTGCATGGGTGTTCGGAAGGGTTGGCCCACCCTTGGCATTCGATGGTGGGCTCATTCAAAAGGCAGACGCTGTCCCCTTGTCTGGTCATGCAAAAACTCTCAGCGGACATACTGTCCGTCTAACCAACCGTGGTTGACAGAAAAGTAAAACTTGCCGACCTTGAAAAAAGTTCTGCAAACATCCATGCAAGTTGTAGTGTGCAACTTTGCTTTTGAAGCACCAATTAAAGCAATCTGCAAGGGGAGCCTTCTCATGGGTTCATTACTCCGGTAATTTGAGGGGCTATAGACAACAGACAGTCTTTGACAGGGTTTCATTGTGAGCAGTTTCCCTCCGGTCTCTGTCAGTACCCCAAAGGCCTCGGCAGCACGGTTCAAGAGCTGAGCATCCAGCATGCGGCGGGCATATTCCCCAAGACCAAGTTCAGCATGATGATACCCGAAGTGGAGAACTTCCTCAATGGACCTTTGGGCAAACGCATAGACGTCGTCGTACTCTTTGGCGTCGAGGTAAAGCGAGACCTTCAGACCGGTGATTTGGGACTAATCTGGGAGATTGATTAGAAACGCAGAATCGTGCAGCTAGACTCATTACGAGGACCAAAGGTTAGAAAGACGAGCATAGAAACTAGTCGTGCCCATCACAGGCTCTATCCCTGCATTCAGGAATTTTCAATGGGATTTGTAAATCCAAATGTCTTCCTACCTGTCGGGCGGGAGATTCAATGCACAAAAAGTCCTCTATTGTTACTGTAGAATTAGTCAATGACATATGATCCAAATAGTGACAGCGTTTGCTTCAATTTTCGGCAATATTGTCACGATAGAAGGCGACGAGAGGGTGAACGGCGAATAATCGGTGGACTTGTGCCATACAAAATAAAGAATGAGCGTCGAGGGGGCAGAAAAGTGGGCAAAAATTTGGCGAATCTTCTAGATGAACGGAGAAATGTATCCTCTCGATGGTGCAAGCGGCAATATACCGTACAATACTGTCAAACATATCATTACTTTTGCCTCGCGGAGTCCTAGCTATTGGAATGTTTTCTTTTCGAACTCGCGCCCACTCAAGTATGTAGAGCAGCGATTACAAATTTCCTTTTTTCTGCACTTCTATTCTCAGGCTCACGTGTGCATTGAGCAAACAGCCCTAGACTTGCTATCTCTAGGCAAGACGGTGCACATTGTCGCAAATGCCACATCTTCACGAAGCCAAGAGGACAGACTGCTGGCATTCGACGTAAGGCTTTACCTCTGCAATTTTCTTAAACTCTAGGAAATGTTTATTTCAGCTGTCTCAAACTCGTCCAAATCATGCACCATTGTTTCTCATCAGGATTAAGATGAGGAGCCAAGATTAGTGTTTGCCCCCATCTGAAGTTTGCACAGCATTGTTCCTGTCAAAATGCCCCGCTGTTATCTGCAGAGACTACGCCAAGTCGGCTGCTTCATCTCAACGTGCGAGTCCATCATCTTCAAACTGGTGCAGGACAAGAACCACCCGGACTTCAATGCTGTTCGACAGATAGTCAGAGACCCCACCCTCTACACTGGGCTAACAAGCTGCTAAGGTGCACAATACAACAAACATGGCAGCAACACTCCTTTCTCGGACCACCCGCAATAAACAGCTTTTTCTTCTTGGCAACATCAAGCATCGCACAAATGTGTTCTCAATGGCAACTATTTCTCACCCTTTTTCAGTTAAAGATGTTTACACCTGTCAATGTGGTAAACGTTTAAGCCTTTGCCTTAACAGTAAATTGTGCAAAAGTTTGCTCATAATACATACATTGAATGCTCATCTGATCTAAAACTGGGTGTCTAACAAAGTGGCATTTTCGAATTCCCCGGCATTTCCAGGTTTCCCCCCATTCTATAAAAAATTTCCTGACCAACCGCTAGCGGGTACACATGTTTGAAGTGCAGTTTTTGTGGGAAAGACATGTACATATGATGAACACAGGCAGGGAGGTGGGCTAAGGTGCACCCCAGTGACACTCGCATGACGAAATGTCCCTACAGTGCAATTCGTGCAACGAATGTCGATGAAACTTTCATGTCGACAAAGCATGTTTCCATGAAACGTGTTCATGAAAATCTGTTCACGAAACAAGTTTCGACGAAATGCTACTGACCCCTTTTATGCGCTACTCTTTTACCATGTCAGTGCTGTGCAGTTTTTTGTTCCCAAGACTCTGACTTTCAAGACGCAAGATATTAGCTGTACACTTCCTACCTTGTCTGCAAAGAAAACAGGACTCTGCCTGTACAGCAGCATTTGTACAGCCATAATCTAAAAGATTCCAGAGCGCACAAAACCACCAGTCACATTCGCTTCCAGGGATTCCAAGGAGCCTGCGACCACAGAGCCAAGTTGACTCCTTGGGAAGACCAGAGGGGAACGGAGTGCAGAAGGAAGGCACAGCTGTCTGGCACATGGCAAAAAACACAGTAATGCATCGAATAATTCTGCATTTTTTTTATTACGCACAAGCCTAAAAAGAAAGTGTAAGGGTGGTGCCAACAATGTTGCACGTCCAATTATTTACGCAACGTGCAATAAATAGAATGCAAGGAACTGTGGCCACAGCCATCAAATTCCCTCGCTCCAAAACACTGGTGAAGAAACGAAAGAACCGCTACTGCGTTCCGGTGGATCCAAAGCCTCCATCGCCGCGTTCCGTAGAGTCCAGCGTCTGAAAGTCACAGAACAGGGTTTTTCAGCTTATGTCACATAACCCAGTTCGGGTGACAACTGCAAAGCACAGTTGAAAATATTGATGGTAGCAGACGAGCGTTTGCTGCCACTGGAATGCGCAAAAGCCCGCCACTGCCGTAGAGGGCGTTGCAAAGTGAGTAGCTGCATGCACTTTCTAAGTCTCAATTACAATGAGGGCAAACAGCAATAGTCTCCTACAGCTCCATTTTCAGAAATGGCAGCTGCCATCCACGTTTTGGTACTTGCGTCTTTGCTCACAAGCATCATGGAGACCGGGGAAGAATGTGCTTCTGCTTTAACCACAAGCACAGACAGAAAGAAACAGCTGGTGGCAGTGACAATTTGCAGAAACCAAGGAAGCGGGAAAGGGTAGCTCGAGACATTCTGCACACGCAATTACTGCCATTGCAAAGTATCAACCAGGGATGAGCAAAATACATGCAAACATGTATCGAAATACAAATACAAAATACTTCGTCGAAAATGTATTTAATTACAAATCTAATTACATTTCCAAAAAAGCATTTAAGTACAAGATACAAATGCAACCAACTGTATTTGGTCTCCTCCAAATACTTTTCCAAATACATTCCTCAAAATTTGCGTCAGCGACATCAAGGCACCTGCAACGGGTTTCTGGGTATCTCATTTAAATTTTGCATCGCACACTCGGGGGTTAGTGTGCGAGACTCTAGTAACGTAATAGAAATATAATCACAAAACAATGTATTCAGCTTGGACGTAATAGGTGAAAAAAGTACAGAGCTTCATCCCGCTTTTTTGTCGATTATATTTTGGTATAGACCAACAATTTTGTTGGTATGGACCAACAACAATTTTTTACGAAAATCTGGACGACCCGCGCATTTAGAATGTTTCAGGTAAAAATATGGATGTAGATCAGGCTGGAAAGCATCACAAGTTGTCACAGGCACTTATTTAGACAGTCTGCCTGTGAGCGTCGATTTCGTCACTATTGTTGCCCTGGACTAGCACCGTAATCACAAAGTCACTAAACGCTTGTGCTTGATTGAGAGACACTGCATTCGGTGCAGAACGTAGTTTTCTTCCTGCTCTGGACAGTGCCTTTAAAATGAAGCCGGAGGAGAAAAGGAAAAAAGCCCCATGGCTGAATAAAGGATGGAGATTATATCTTACTACCACATGGATAAAAACAAGAATTGTCGTGACAATAAATTTGAGGGATGTATTTTCGCCCACAAAATTGTATTTAATTACAATTGTATTTGAAATACCCACGTTTTAGTATTTAAATACACACGTCAAATACATTACCCAATTTGTAATTAAACACAAATGCAAAATACACAAAGTATTTGAAATACGTATTTCAAATACTTGTATTTGAAATACTGCCCATCCCTGGTATCAACTATCTCTGACTAATGCTCGCTCAATATTCAACACATCAGTAGCTTGATCTGTTCTGTTCTGGAACATTTGCTCTTCCTTGTATGCATGATATTATGAATGGAATAAGATCAAATATAAGACTATTTGCACACAACTGCAATATTTATATAGTAATTAATCATTCGAATGATGTAAATTTCTTACAGGCTGATCTTTACAATATTTCAATGTGGTGCAACAATTATTAAACAAATATTTTTAAATGTTAAAAATATGTTCATGTGAGATTTACTCAAAAGAAAAGCCCAACTGGCTCTACCTACATAATAAATATTGAAATTCAGGCTACCTCAAGCACAAAATACATGAGGGTCATTCTGCCTAGAGATATAACGTGAAAAGCTTATGTGGAAATGACAATTCTAAAGTCTGTATGCATGATTAATTTTATACGACAAAATTTTCGACAGGGTTAATGAAAAATTAAAGAAACTGTACTTTACGTTTATTCGCCCCTGTGTTGAATATGCAGCAGTTGTGTGGAATCCCCGCCACAACAACCTAATAGAAAAACTCGAAAAAATACAAAATCGGTGTGCTAGATTTGTTTTAAAAGATTTCCATTGCAGGGCGAGTGTCCCCGCCATGAAGGATAATTTAAAGTGGGAATCGCTAGTGGAACGCCGAAACATGTTTAGGTTAAAAATTTTACATGATATATTTAACAAACACTTTCTAATCAGTCGAGAAATGTTTTTACAGGAACCTTTTTATATGTCGGGAAGGGCAGACCACCAGAACAAAATCCGACCCTACTTTTACTGTACTGCTGTTTTTGCGTTTTCTTTTTTTCCGAAAACAATAAAAGAATAAAATAGGTTGGCTATTGAAGGATGTGTTTGATGTTTATACAAGTTTGTTTGTATTTCGACACATATCACTTCAACAACATCAAATGCTCTTGATTTAATACTGACTACTTTGCCTGGCTTGTGTTCATTCGTCATTCCTTACTTCACTTCCTTACTAGTGATCATTCCTTACTTCACTTCAACCTAAATATTTCATTGCCTGTTACAGTTGACAACAAGAAACTTAATAGAGATTATAAGCGAGCAAACTTTGATGCAATTAATATTGAACTGCGTGTTTTTCTAAACGGCTTCCTAACACAATTTTCAGACCGCTCCCTGGATGTAAATTGGAATTTATTTAAAAGCAAAGTTGACATTCCTATCACCCATAACTATTACCTCTAACCATAATTCACACGGTATAATCAGTCCCTTAGAGGCCGACGTACATGCAGGTAAGGTAATCCTTTTAGCGCTCCCCTCCCCTACGCTGCGAGGGGAGCCAAGTTGGGGCAGGGTAAAAAGTGGAGGATACTGGGGAGGAGGATGTGGGCAAAAGTGGAAAGCGCGAAGTGTATGTCGGCCTTTAAATGGGTACTTAACAAAAAGAAGCGTTTATTTCGTTCAGCTAAGTCATATACTCTCAGCACCAATTGTACGTCGACTCGGCTGCAGATATCACCTATCAAACAGCCATTATGGAAGCTAAAGATTTCTTTTTTTTTTTTCAACATACTTCGTCGCATATGTTGATTAATAATCCCAAGCAGTTCTGGACTACTCTAAGTAAGACGGATCAGTATGCTGTACATCTTAGAGGTTCAGACGGCGAAGACGTTCACAGTACTGACTGCGCCAGTGTTCTGAACGATGCGTTTGTTTCTACATTTTGTACATTTCTGAACCCTAGTCTCCCTGAACTCTCATGTCATGCATTTTTTTCAATGGACCCAATTTGTATCGACACTGGAGGTGTAGCATGTTTGATAGGTTACCTTAAACTGTCTTTTAGTATCAACAACATTAATTCAAAATTTCTTAAAAATACACAACCATATAGTTTTATTCAGGGATGGGCAGTTTTTCAAATACTTTGTGTATTTTGCATTTGTATTTAATTACAAATTGTGTAATGTATTTGACGTGTGTATTTAAATACTAAAACGTGGGTATTTCAAATACAATTGTAATTAAATACAATTCTGCGGGCAAAAATACATCTCTCAAATTTATTGTCAAGACTCATTTTGCTCATCCTAAGACGTGTCCAAAGCTGCTCTTTCTTCACCTCAACGCCAACGGCAACAACAAACCAAGAAACTCTTCATCTCTTCATACACCAGTCCTGCGGCAGCTCGCGTCTCGCTCACTGCGGGCGCCTGTGGCACTTGCCTCTATTACGTTAAAGGGTGCGGGCATCTTCTAGCTCCGATTCCCTCAAACCCTGTCTCCGGATGAATATGACACTGCAATACTTCGCTCTCGGCAAAAGGGTTTAATCACTCACTCATTGCCTTGGGGGGTTTCGGGATCGGGGGACGGTTAACAGCGAGGCCGCGGGAGAGTCCGCTGCCATAGCAGCTTCTCCAAGTCCCAGCGGTGGTCATCCACACCGCGTCATGGGGACGTTGTCGTCCAGGGTCGCTGTCCGGTCCGCTTGTCGAGTCCGCCACTCGACGTAGTGCCCGCACTCCCCCGCGCCAGCGTCCGGCGCCGTCCGAGCTCGCCTCTGTGACCGGTCCCTTGTGAAGTCGGCAGCCCAAGCCCAAGACCCCTTCCTTTGTCTTCCATTCCCCTCTTAAGACCTTCCCAAGTCCTTGTCCCGCCGACCGTCCAATCGGGAACTTTGCTGCGAGCCGACCCTCCGACGTCAGCGCTGGGTGAGGGGGCGCTTGCCCCGTACCTCCCGGAGAGCTCGGACATTCCGCGACAGGCCGGCGACTGGAAACGGGAAGGTCACAGGGAACGAAGGAGCGCCCGACAATACGGCGGCGGGGACCGGCAAGGTCACGGAGCGCGGGGGAGCCAGGGAGAGGGTCCCCACAAGGGATACTGAACTGAAATTTGGATTTCGCAAAGTAAGGCTGCAGAAGTGTTGAACCGGACGCTACAAACTCCAAAACATCACTCGCACATCGACATCTCAAACGGATGGCCGTACTTTTGGAAAAAAAGGGAGTGATCAAGCGAGTTCTTCGACGTAACTGTCCTCCGGGAGAATTTGAGAATGAGAAGCGGCCTCGCTTCTCTCCTCCTCGCTTCGTTTCACCAGCTTGACGGGACGTAGCGAGGAGGAGAGAGAATGGGAATCGTGACGTGCCTTGTCTCGTCGGCCGCGTTCAATCGCGCACTTTTCCAAAAAATACGGCGATCCGTTAGATATATCGTCATATGATTGATATCTTTTGGTTTTTCAGCTTGCCGCCTATCCGCCTGGCCTTGTTTAGTGACCTCGAAATTTCAGTTCAGTATCCCTTTAAATAAATGTTATTGCCAAAGTTACAATTCTTGTTTTTATGCATGTAGTTGTAAGATATAGTCTCCATCCTTTTTTTGGCCATGGGGCTTTTTTTCTTTTTCTCCCCTGGCTTTGTTTTAAAGGCACTGTCCAGAGCAGGAAGAAAACTATGTTCTGCACCGAATGCAGTGTCTCTCAATCAAGCACAAGCGTTTAGTGACTTTGTGATTACAGTGCTAGTCCAGGGCAAGAATAGTGACGAAATCGACGTTCACAGGCTGACTGGCTAAT